CGCATGCTTCCCCCCCCCTCCGGTACGGAAGATCTATTATATTCGTATTGGTATTCTCGGCGAAAGCGTCATTTTTCCACTGATACCGTGACGGACGGAACGGTCCGAATGATGATCTAATGAGCGGCCCGGTGTCTTTGTTGGCCGAGGCATGAGCTTTTGTGACAGTCATTCACCTCTCTTCCTTGGATCCACCTATGTGCTCGCGATTCCCTGGAGAGTGATTCTGGGGTCGGGAGTGAAGGCTTAGCCTCCGCGAGGGCAGCATTATTAATAGTCTATTAGCGGCTGTTAGTGGGATACTCCTTCACGACAGCTAGGCAGAAATGTCGGCTCTCAGCCCTAAGCAAGCTGAAAGGATTGCCTTCATCGTCGAGCGCTGCTTCTACTCAGCCGAATGATTTTGAAGATGTGAATTCTCTCTCGATTCATCACTTTCCCGAATTCGCGCTCACTTGTACCTCGAGTGAACGCTTCCTAATGCGTTCAAAAGACCCGAAGACGAAACGCCGCCGGAATACAGAACGCGCCGTTCTGTGACATTAAAAAGTCATTCATTTTCATTTCTGTCGGCGTGTCAGCGGACCGAATGCGCTGATATCCATTTTCTTTATTTTGTTGCAACGTGTTCCTCTTTTACCGACCGTCAATTAGCTGATTTGAGCTTGAATATAATGGTAGGGAGAATGTGCTGGTCTACGCTCTCACAGACCCTTAACAGAGATTGATCATTTCTGACTAATCATCTGTCTGTCTGTTTTCCCTCGTTTCCCCTTCCCAAGTGCATTTAGCACAAGGGACCGCGACAGAAGTAATTCGTGACGGATTTCTCTGCAATGCGAGCGAGGAAAAGGCGAGAAGAGTCCACCTTCTCGTAAATAAGGCTCACCAACTGTATTTATTCTGATGAACCGGCGTCCCAGACGTAGACTCCAAAAATCTCTGGGATATTGCAATCTCGAGCGAGCGGACTCGACCGAGTTCCGTTGTAAACTCGAGACATAGAGCTTCGACATGGAGTACGAACGACTCCGCTCGCTTGAGGAAATTCTATCCTGGAGAGATTTAGAGTCGACGTTCCGGGCGCCGGTCCATTAGAGACGAATACGGTATTGCGAATTCCTCACGTCATGGTCGCTCACTTGTCCATGGCGCCGAGAAGAATCGGAGAGCATCGTCGTGTGCGGAAATCTCCTCAAGTCATGAGCACGTCGAGAGAAATGTCTCATTTGGAACTTTGCAATCAATCCTCGCCAATCGCTCAACAGCTGTTCTGATTAAACTCGTCGCGAGACCGTTCAGGGAACCAGGAGCCATCTCTGATTGGTTCGAATCTTCTGAAAGTTTCCCCTGCGATCGTCTCCATAAAATGGAGAATTTCAAATTCATTCAAGAGTCTTCAAATGGGAGGAGGGGACGACGACGACGACAACGAACCGACGACAGAGAAGGGGCGGACTATGGAAGTAGCTTCAGAGAGACAGATTGAAAATCAGCCTCATTCCTAAATCTCCAGCTTGCGGGGTTGCCAGCGAGGAACTCTGCCGAGTAGGTTTGTGGTCATTCTGTTGTTCCTCTTCAGTGCGGCGGCGATGGGCTCACTCGATGGTTCTTGGCGACTCTCATCGTTTTTCTCTTCCCTGATCGTCTGTAAAGCAAATGTTCTACTTCCGCCGTTCGTGCTCATCAACCCCATCATATTTTATGCTCTATCTTTTGGTCCCTAACGTCCGGCTTCCTTTAGGTCCCGAGTCCTCAAATGGAAGTCATGCTCCTCGCAGTAGAGCCCAGCGACGAGGAGCTTCAGCAGGATCCGTCATTCATGATTACCCCGCGTGCTTGATGCGGAAGGATGAATGCTGCTGCGACCTTCGGGTCAGAGAAAATTAGAAACTCTTCGAATTCGAGGGGATTCCGAGCAATGCATCGGATCAGAGCCTCGGCCGCATTCAATCGACTCATCGATAGATGTATCACATAGCCGCCCGCCCGCCCTCCTTCACCCCCGCGCAACTCCACAGCGAAGCTCCGCCACTCTCGTTCCCCTTTGTTAGTCCCGGTAATTCATGCAAGAAATCATCAGGCTCTGACTTCAATTGAAGAACCGCTTGGCTAACTCACTGACGACTCAATGAGAGATGGCGGATGGGAAGGATTGTCTATGGAGTGAAGGAGAAGAATAACGAGAGACCACTTTGACGGCGGGCGATCAGTGAGAGAGACCGGAACTCGGTCCCTTGTCAGACGGAAGTGGTCTCTTTGTCGCCACAAATCTTTCTTCTTTCCCTGTTTTTGCTTCCATTGGCGACATCAGCCCTTGAGCTGCATCATTGCTTGAGTGCTGAGGATCCCGCGATTTGTACTTCGAGAGGAAAGAGCATCGATTTTGAGCGAGTCGATTCTGGTGCTTGGTGGTATCGAGGGAAAGGAACGATAAAATTCATTATTATTGGATCGGTCTCCGCAGCGCTAACAGAGTCGTGATTCAGTCTGAGCGCGAGCGCACGAAGCTTCACACTTACACTGGCTGCTGGTGTCACCTTCCGCGGCAGATTCGTCGCTCGTTATCAGCTCGGATATCAATATTCTTCGTAGTTCGTTCCTATCTGCAGAGCCATCTGAGCAATAGCGGCGGCGAACGAGTGAGCGACTGGCTGGCTCGCGAGAGCCATCTCAGCGTCGGTGCATTAACATACCTGGCTCCTATAAAGTCAACGCGAGTCGAGTACTGGCGAGCCGGGAGAGCCTACGGACCGACGAGCGAGCGAAGAACGAACGAACGAACGAGCCACCGAGCGAGCGGCGGGAGCACTTCGACCCTTCTACCTCATGAGGAGTCCCCTGTGTCCAGGGGGAAATCCGAACGAGCCATCGAGAACGATCTGATTCGATAGAAGTTACAATCACAGACAAACGCTCCCGCAAGTGATTTGTTTCCTTGCAAAATAATGAACTTCCGATTCCGTACAAATCAAGATATGCCATCGAGTAGAACACAGTCATCCTCCTCGGACAAGCCTCGCCGCCGTTTTTTCCCTTCCCTGTTCGCGTCAACGTTGGGAAGCTATAATTCCCGTCGGGAGGAATTGTCTTCGTTCGCAGTTTATAACTGCCCAGGAGTACATATATGTATAGTCGCATCTACCCGGGCGTATTATGTTCTAGGTTCCGTTCCGTACGGTGGTCGATTCGGATTTCAACGGAATGAGCGATCGATCCTGTCGTTCCTGGTCCTGTCATGATATCATTCCAACGAAAAGTCGAAGTGAGCGTTTCAATATTCCCGTATTCCAGCTTTCAGCTCGCGTGGCTCCGCGCAGCGCCTGCGGCAGGATTGGGGGCGGCACCCGGCGCTAATGGGTTCACTCGATCGATCATCTGACCGCGTCTAAGCTCAGATATACATACATAGTTTCGATATGATGAGGCGGAGAGAAGCTGGCAGAACCCGCCAGCTAGCGAGTGGACGAATGAACCCACCAGCCAGCCGACTAATGCTGTGGCTTATTGGTAGAGTTAATGCGCACGCACAATACTGATAGTGATATTGCTTCCTGCGAGCTCGTACCCTTACCATAGATGCGAGCTGTCCGCCGTATATGAGATTTCTTTCGGTGTTGTCCTTCGGATAGCCCACTGTTCGGAAGGCGAATATCCCGTGTCCACTGCCGCGACGCTCGATGGGATGTACAGACCCCGCACGAATCTTTATCGGGTGTTTATTAGCTCGCGATAGAAGGAGAAAGCGGAAAGATATTGAGAACATCGCGTCGGAAAAATTAGTCATGGAATCACGGATCTGTCGGGATAATTAGAGCGAGCCGCGATCACGCAACGGAAACGGGGATAAGGTTCGAATTCTGGTTTTGCCAGAACGACTCCGATGACTTCTGGGTCCTGATGTATATGGTTGATTATTCCGTCTGCAGCATCTCTTCACGCCACCACGCTGCGCCGACCCAGATCCATATTCGAAGGTGAGCAAAGTTCAGCCGTGAGTTGGAATCATCCGGATTCGCGATGCTTTCTCTTTTTCTCTCAACCGAGGGGATTTTCGGCGGAATAGTCCGAAACCAAACTCGGTGTCGTTCTTTGTCTAATTGCTGATCCCAGAAGCTGCTGAACATCGGTCCCGTCGGACCTCTACGAATGATTACAGATTGATAGTGCAGCATAACGCATCAGTTTATTTCAGCTTCGCCCGACTCGAGCTCTTAACAATTCATCCGAGTCGGATCTCGAAAGTACCCATCTGTAGTGAATTCGTTCCACGTCTCTATGGTTTCCGACTCTGAGATTGATTGTTCGCACGAAATTCTAAAATAAACGCGTTCTCGTTCATCATACGAAGTCGTATCCATGGTTCATGGTCGTCGGACCACCGTAGGGTCGGAAAAAGTTTGCGGGCATCGTTTTCGACATATTATTAAGCGCAGCCGTAAAGGAAAATAAGAGCTAGATACGAATCGTCGATCTCCGTTTTAGGCAATTAGGGCAGATGTGTGTGAATAAACCTTCCATGGTCCCGTTTTCCAGCGCCAATATCAGAATACAGAAGTTGCAAACGGGTCAGCGGATGTAGGCAGAAATATCATAGCTTCTTGTGACTTTATGTCGCTCTCCATTCGATTACATTGACTGCGCGCCCTCTTCTCTCCCATGGCCAGTGTATGGAATTTTCCTCGCGAGACAGAGGGGAATCTAGAACGGGCGAGCAATGTTCGCCGTTCGAGCTCTAGTACGTTTCCCGGAACTCCCATGTAACCATCGTTAGGAAGTGTGGGGACTCGGTGGCGACCCCGGGATCGCTTGGAAAATCCCGCATGGAACTATCTCCGATTTCCCCGAATTTTTCAAGATGTCGATTGCATGCATCGTATTTACATTATGTATATAATTTAATCCACTAAGCAGGGAGGCCCGTCTATCGTTAGTCAGGAGCTCCCGTACTCGAAGCTAACTATGTACACGAATCAGCGCTATAACTACCTACGACACGATTACATCGACTGAGCTCTGTATTCGGTATCGTATGGACTTTTGCGCTCGTCGGGTGCCGCGAGATTCAACGCTTGTCCGGCCGGAGACCACTGGCCCTGTTGCTGGGACGGACTGTGGTATTTGTGAGTCACCTCATTCCCGCTGCTAGCGTGATATTTCGATTGGGGTATGAAGGAATCGGTCGGCCCAAAGTACGAACCATCGCCGCCGTAGTACCTGAGAGAAGAGAGCGCTATGAGACCTCTTATCTTCATCGAGGGAAGTGTCGTAAGCAGATCCCGAACTCACCTGCTGGCTTCGAGGAGCTCGCTTTGAGCTGCTGTCTGTGCTAGTGACCAGATTTTGGGTTTGGGACTCGTCGACGAACCGAACATATGCCCGCCGTGGAAAGGACTTCGACTGGTGTCCGGATGTGTGGGAACACAATGGTACTTTTCAGGTGAGAGGTACTTCTGCGTCACCTCTGGCGAGCTGTTGTGATACTTCTCCGCGTATTTCGGGAGACTGTGCGCATCCGTGGGCTCACGTGAAAGATCCGCGTTCGATGACTCGTAACGGGACGAAGCGGAGGTGGGATACGGCGTTCGAGTCACACCTGTAATTATTCAGCTTTCCTTGTTGGTTTTTCAATGAGGATCTTATCGGATTCACGGAGCGAGTACCGCCGCAGTGCTCGCCACCAGGATCAGCGCCAAGGTGCCAATTCGAACGCGCATATTTAAAAATGGAACTCGAGTTTCTCTCGGATCGATCCGTGTGGAGATGTCATGTCTGCGGTTCATTTCGAATCTGCCGAGAAGGTAGATGTTCATCTCGATTCGTTGCCGTCGTGTAACACTAGATTCAAGATGGCTTGCTGACGATCGATTCTGCTGGTGGTATCGACCGACTTCATCAATCGACTTCTTTAAGTTGCTTCCCGACGCTTATTCATTTGTATATATGCCTCAGATGGGGAATATTCCTCCAGTTTCGCATAACTGTTCTGGAAACGAGTACTGCTCATCTCACCGAAAACGAGGACCGAACTACAGACAAACGGAATTGGCTCGCGATGTTCGTTGCTTCTCGGAGGTGCTCCGACGCGGCAGTCCAAGTGAGCTAGATGCATTCATTCGAGTAATGAGTTAAGTGGTCCTGCGCTCGGTGTTGTGCTCACGGGAGGACAAATACTTCTCTCGGCTCTCCCTCGGCGGGGAATTCGGAGGCCCGAGTCAGTCGAGCAGAGGCGAGTTCGGTTTTCACCGCGGAAAAACGAGTCGGAAAGCTTGGTTCGGACTGCTCTTCGCATTTATTCTCGGACAGAAGCACAGTGGATTTCCACCAATCGGGGGAAGTTACGTCGACGCCAAGCGGAACAGCACTGTTCGCCCACGCCCCTCTGCAGAGGTGTCGCTATGATAATTCTATATTTCACGGTGCGGAACTCCAAAGATATATCGCTTCGAAATAAGGGGCGGCACTCCGAATGTATCAGAAGCGAACGAAGAGTTCACGACGACGATGGAGACGACGACCAGGTCTACTCGACGCCACCGAAGCGCTCAAGCAACGCGCGCAGATGCGTTTAGTGGATCGCGTGCTCAAATATCATAAAATCTTGACTCGTTATGGAAGAAAGTATGGATGGATAGACAGATAGATGGCGGATGGACTGACCGACCGACTGACTGTGGGACAGACAGACCGACAGACGGCCGAGCAGGCAGGCAGGCAGGCAGACAGACAGACGAACGGACCGTCCGACTCATAGGTAGATAGATGGATGGCGGTATCATGGCTTCGCCCGCATAGAAACCGAGCCGGACACTTGAGATTTGCGAGTCCAAGCATTGATGGTAGCCTTCATCGCTCGCTACCGGACGCCTAGAACCATCTTTAAGAGCCGTTCTGTGTAAGCCACAAGCCATTAGCAAAACGAAATGAGAAAGCTCGACTATTTGTGATACGGCCGGATCAAACAGAAGGCATTCCGTTTACTTCGCTCTGGTGCCAACGCACCAGAATCACGCTCTAATCACCGGACGGATGTCTTATCCCAAGTCACCGTACGGAACCGATGGAAGACGTCAGGTCTTTCCCGGAACTTATTTTCGCGGGACGATGCCTCGTGGACGACAGTTCTTTGAGGCTCCGCTGTTCGTCGCTTTGCCTCCAGGAGCTTTCCCTGAAGGAACTGGAGGAGGAATTCTTGGACTAATGGTGGGGAGCTCCGGAGCCTGGAGGCCAGCCGGAGCTGGCAAACGCCGCTAAGCATCGTAGAGTCATTAATTTGAAAAATCATCACACGTCAGATGGGTTTCCGCGCAGTTGAATTGTTGTCGCTCAACTAAACGCATTCTAGAAATGGGAAGAAGTTTTGTAGTGTATAAGTTTTTCTGTTTCTGTCAGTCGGTCTGCTGGCGCTGCCGCCGCGCCTTCGGAATGATCTTTCTATTCTCTTCATCGCTTTCCTCGACCGTCGAGTCGTCCCTTGAAACTTCGCGCGCAACGAGTAGGAAACAAAAGAATTACAATAATGATTGTGATGAAATTTCGGCCGGAAAAAAAGTTTCTACGTCCGTCTTAGCAGTCGAATGACTATGCCTGAATGCCGATACATATCTATGGCAGCGACTGAGACGATGAATCGATCCGGTCCTAGTCGATCTCAAGGGAGGAGGATTCTAGCTCACTGACCGTTCTTGTTGCTGATCTGGTTCGGGGCTCTATCGCGTTCGTCAGACTGAGGACCCACGTCATCGTCGTCTTCGTCATCTTCATCGTTTGTCCGAGTCTTATCCTCCTCCTCCGCAGGTCTGGCAAAATCAAACTCTTGTACAGATGACTCCTTCATTCCTACTACGGACTGATGTCGGAAGGGAGGGAGTAGAAAGCTCACCTATTGCGCGGTTCCCACGTCATCTTGTTTTCTTTCTTCAGCCGTCTCCGTGCATTCGCGAACCATGTCGAAACCTACGGAAGAGCGATGGAAGCGCGAATGAGCAGACTGGCGAACCTTACGCGTTATACAGAAACGGGCCTTAAAAATAATTACTTACTTGTGTGAGGGTCATCTTGGTTATGATAGCTAACATGATTTTCTCGCCTTTCGTCGGGTAGGGATTTTTCCGATGCTCGTAGAGCCACGCTTTCAATGTATTCGTTGTTTCACGGGTGGCGTTCTTCCTTCTGGCGACCGAATCCATTGTTGACGAATAGCTGCTCGGGAAAATTTATATCCACATTATTCTTCTCTCACATGTTCGACAGGGTTCCCCGGACCTATAGCGCGGGACTCGACAAGCACTGTTCGGAAGGCTATGCCCAGCGGATTCGAATCCGACTCTCGCTCGCTGGAGGGAGTAGCCGGCTGCAAAAATCGACTCGGTTCCTCCGCGAGGTCCAGCGTCAACAACGCAGCCGCAGATGTGCGCGTGATGGCTCGGTTTTCTTGGACTTCATAAGCTTCCTTTCAATTTTCGAGCTTGCCTCGCTTCAAAGCGCTACGCAGACTTGTCTCACTGAGTTTCTTGTCGCTTGTCAGTGAGATGCTTGATTTATATTCGAAAAAAAATTCGGGAAATCACCAACGAGCGGCGAATTGAATAAATGCGTTATCATGAGAGTCCGCCTAAAGCACGCCGCCAGAACTCAACGGCCGTGTTCGTCTGCGGCGCGCTGACGTCGATGAGAGCCGACACGAACTGGATCAGAATCTCATTAACATATTGACATCGTGTGTGTTCGCCTGTTGCTGAGTGAGCTTGTATCCCCGTGCTTCCGGTGCACTTCTGTCGGTCGACTGACTGAACAGGATTCAGGACACTCGCATAATTTTCACCGAGATTATCCTTCTCGAATAATTCTCGAAAAGAAACCGGCTACTGGCTCGCTGACAGAAATGCACGTCTACTCATTATTCGGCCTATTTCCGATCGCAGCGCGGAATTTAGCCTTTTTTCTCCAATCTTGTTCCCGTCTCGGGCTGCGTGTTACCTTGAGAAGGCAACCGAGTGCCATCGTTTGGAGCCTAAACCCAAAATACTGAACATAGAGCAGGATCCGATTTGCTGGACCTCAATTTTAGTCACAATGCTCAATTTAAGTGATCGTATCGAATGTCGCTGCTTCTGTCGGTAGTAGCATGCTCGTAGCGAAAGAAGCAGGAGATGTATAAGCTGCAGTCGCGATTGTTATTGTAGGAGCCATCTGGCTAAAGTAGCGAATAATGATTCAGATAGCATCTCAATCAGAAGTTTATCGGGCGATCTGAGCAAACGCTCGGCGCAGGTTAGACCGAGCGAGCGAGCGTCTCGATCGATGGGGGACTAAAAAGAGGAAATCGTACCCCCTCCTAATTCATTAGAGTTTCACATTTCGGAATGGAGCGTGTATACGTGGGCTCCCGATACGGTAGCGCGATGAGAATCAACAAGCGGTCTGAGTCGGCTTTTCGCACTATCATGGCCCATAGGTTCACGCATTATGTCGATGAAGAGAAATACAAGGAACCCAGCTCGATCGCTAGAGATGTGCGCGCTGTCAATAGGAGTGACAAATTTGAAGAGCTCGCACCCTGAGTACCCTACGGAACAGTCAACCCCGAGCTTCCGACCGTTGATGCTATCTGCCTGCATTCACTCGAGGATACAGAGAGAAGCGGAACGGCGTGGCACCACTAGGCGTTGAACAGTTCCTCAAAGGTTGCATTGTGTTTGAAGATGTCATCCGAGAGATTCGACGAGGGGAAATAGAATTATTCTCTGCAGGAATGATTTGTCTTGTTTATATTCGGGAATTGGGCAGACCCTACGGTTTGGATTAGGTCTGATCCCGCTCTGGCCAATTTCCGTTCGATGAGATCACCGATGCCTTTGGCACCCGAGGATGCACGCATATCTTCCCCGACCTTGTCATTGAGGGTCGATTGGAAATCAGCTCCACCATAATGAGTACAAAATCGATGTTTGATGATTTCTGATTGTTAGCCAATCCTGACGAGTCAATGGTCCACTTAAGGACAAGAGCCATTACACCCAGCTCGCAGAGGACGAAGCTTAGACGAGAGGCGAACGAACGAGCGACAAGTCACTGAACACTTGTCCCTTGGGAACGAGTTTTTTTCACTGCAGGAGAGCGAATTGTCAGCTCGAGAGCGGTTCCCTCGGCCCGTCTCGAGCGAGTCGAGTCGTCGTCGTCGTCATCCGCCCGGCGGGACAAATTGTAGCCGCGCGGAGCTGTCAAACGAAACCTGTGAATGGAAGCCGAGAGCTTGCTACCTCGTCTTCGTACATAAATCTGTGTGTACTAGTCACAAGAGATCCGAGCGCGGAACGATGGACGCACTCCGCGAGTTCGACGCAAAAGGCCGGCGCGCGGTTCGCGGACCGGAAATTTGTTCTGGGCGATACGAATTTCCGGAAACCTTTCGCGCCCCTCTTCGTCACCTCGCTTGGATTGCCATGACGGCCTTCGTAGATGGGCGGCTGAGTTTCAAACATCGCAGACGCTCCTGGGCAGTTTCGAGTTTTTGTTTCAGGTGGCTCGAACGAGGAGCCGTTTCAATTCGTCGCTGACACAACAAATCAGGGTGGAGCAATTCTCGTCCTCGTCCTGTTTCATTCAAGCAGTGAGCAATAGCCAGAATACCCTGATGAATCGAAGAAGGAGCCCTCTCTCTCCTCCAACTTGTTCCTAACTATATCATTGTGCTGAAACGGAGGGACTCATACGGAAGGAACGGAAGCGGACGCGCTTATTCGCAATTATTCCCTGTTCCTCTTCGAGAGTCCTCCACACTCGAAATACGGGGAACTTCTCCACGCTGCACACCCTTCGAGGCTGAGGGCGTTGCTCACTTCGAGTCGGGTGCACCTCGTTTTGTTGTTTTGGTTTGTCGTTTCGATGCAGTGAGTTGCACAAAGATGGGAGGTAGGAAGTCATAGAGAGAAATACCCCCATCAAAGACACACAACAAAGCCAGCGAGTTGACTCTGTTACTAAGCCGGTTTTTATTGTCTTTTCGGATTCAAGCGAAGCAGACCCCAGGGAATCGGGATCGAGCGGGAGAGAAAAAAGCAAAGAGAAGCATCACGGATACACTCCCGGGGTATAAGAGCCTCAAGCGAGAGGGGACGCCCCGGGGAGACACTCGAGTTTTTAGAGGCTTCCCATTAAACAATCAGCATTTTTCGGGGATGTCTCACGCACCAAGAAATGGGTTGGAATCAATCGAAGATCGTTGATATGGATCGAATGCTAATGAGTGCGAAATTAGTGCTTACCGGTCTCCATAGGGTGTATAGGCCAACCCCGCCGGATCGTAGGGATAGCCGCCCGCGGGAGGGACTCCCCAGTTGCCACTCGCAGGGTAGAAAGGTGCAGACGGAACATATCCACTCGGAGCGGAATCTGTGGACGACTGGTACAGACCATTCACCTGCAACAGTCAGGTCGATACGCTCTTTCAGCAGATAGTACCGTATCGATATGTTCATCACGTACAAAAATCCACTACATGGAAGAGGCAACCAGATCAATTGGCTTCCGGTTCCTTGCGGAGAGGCGAGATACTACTTTTCCGCAAGATCTCGTGAGCTCCGTTGGCTTGCCCACGAAAATAATAAATTTAATTTTTGCATCAATCGGTACAATGGCAACCGCAGTGGCACAATGGGCAGTCGCAATTTTCAAATTTCGTTTTTCAGCGACGATTCGATCTGGATCCATCGTTCGCATCGAATTGCGGCTCATTCGAATCCACTCATTACCCAGCGCATGCATTGTACCAAATAAGTAGGCCAGCACATGTTGCCCAGAGTCAGTATAACATGATGCACTAAATAAAAATCCAGGCGGGGCTATTCGTCCTTATCATTCGGGCAGTCGGGAATGCAACAGCTTATCCCCGATGAAGGGATCAGGCTTTTTGTTTCCTTTTTTTTCTAAATCAAAATCACTCGCCCAATCTATAACCAGGCGAAAACACTCACTGTTAATGGAGGTGCGCCCGAGGGCAACCTCGTTGAATGGTAGAGACTTGAAGAGTGGAAACTATCATAAGGAATCGATGGATCTTCTGTTCTCGCATCGTGATGTCCCCCGAGAGACCCAAGTGACGCGACGGGGTCGTGTGACACTCCTAATGTCGATCTAGACGAAATGTAGTTGCCCGGCGGAGACGGCGCAGCAGGTGAAGACGAGGAGGAAGTGTTTTGTGGCGTGGTGCCTAAGCGGTGGACCTACAAAGCAAGGGAATCGCACGGATTTAGAAGGAGGCATCCACCAATCTTATCAGCAGAAACTCCTATTCCTGGTCGGTTGGATTGCCGGACAGCTTCGCGGCTCGCGGCAGGCCTCAAGATCCGCGAGCCCTGGCCACTCTCGAGGAAGAGTCGTACGCACGGGGGCGATTCCTTCGCGCGGAAATTATCGTCTGATGCTTCTCGTCGGCGGTAGTTTCCAGTTTGGGACTACTTATAGGTAAGTGCACCGACGACGAGGCCGAACGAGCCAGCACTGGTTGGGGTGGTCGCTCGGCTATCAAACTGAGTAATCAAAAAGTATACGTGACGACCACCGGGCATAAATGACGAACCCCGCCTAGCTAGGAACAGATAACCGCTAAATTTTAGTTGAGTCTGGCGGATGCATACTTATTAGAACATACGAAGACCGTACAAATAGACGAGCGAACATGAATACGCGACTACATTTTTTCGGCGGTGTCTGTTCAACGAAAACGAACAAGTCTAATTGTTCTCATGATCCCCCTTCGGAGCATTGGACATATCCGATGGTATCATCGCTCACTCACGTCACTAGAAAAAAAACCATCGGCGGCTACTGATGTCGTGACGTACGGATCTCGCCTCATGGATCCGACTACTGCCGAGGTGTGGGAATCTCATTGCTCGGAATAAAAGGAAGAGTCAGTCTCTCGCAGAACCGTCTCATCGCTTTCGTGAACTCGGGTCGAAAAACAAACTCGATATAAAAAAGAGCTGAATGATTAGGATTGATACGAGTCCGCCGGTCCTCGGACCAGTAAGTCCGTATGATACGTGATCGCGGAAGTTCGAGTGAAACGACGTACTCCGACGTGTAAAGCTCGCTCATCGGTAGCGGAGCACAAAGCCCTCCGTTTGTTAATGCGACGACTGCGCTGAGGGCGTACGACTCGATGTCGGACATGTGTTCCACTGTCTACAGACACTACGGACCAACTCCGCCGGATTCTGGTCCAGCCGGTCTGCCGCGGTGCTTGTCGAAGCAAGCAACAGCACGGCTCATCGCTGTAATGATGTTGTTCGGTATGACCCGAACGGATAATTCGACTAGGTCAGATATTGAACGGCGAACGAGTTCGGAGCTCGCGCAGCAACATCATCCTCATGATCATCGGTGTGATCATGCACTCAGAAGAAAGTGGAAGAATTTACTCCCGCCCCCTCCCCTTCAACTGCTGACTCTATATGATGCGCGAATGAGGCTCTGAATTTAGACCGTGAGAGGGATCCGGGTCAGCCGGAAATCATGAGCGCGCGTCCAAATTTATACCGTTCTGTCAAGAGTTATACCTCCCGTCTGCGATGGACGCATGACGGACACTCGAGCCAAGCGAAAATTCGACAAGAGAAAAAATGCACGGAGGCAGCTGTTTTTGGACGGATCCATGATGTCGTCGATGGTAGTACTTTCGCTGTCATGCGACATTGACCAACTCGAGCATTTAGTTTTGATCTGGCTTCGTTCTGTTCAGTAATACGGATGGGAGACTCGTCGCGGTCCCGGTATGCTTTCAGAGACAGCCCCGTGAATGACGGCAACACTAAAATGAAACAACAAAACAGCGGAGGGGGCGATGGCAGCGTCAGAACCAGCGAGTCGTACGTGATTTATGTCTGTCGCCAGCACAGTCGCTAATAGCGATCTAATGACACTGACGAAGAGATGATGGCGGTGCTAGCAGTAGTGGTGACGTCTGGTTTGGCCTGGATCACCCCGTATGAAGAATCCCTTGTGTACTTTCTGTGGTGTCGGTGACGGGACCGTCGACTCCGAGTCGCGGAGGCCTGAATCCCTAAATACTCGCTCTCAAACCAGCTGAGGCAAATTATAGCAAGTTGAAAATTAGTCTTTTACCCCGACCGGCAGTGACGCTCGTACGTTTCTGAGCCGCTTCCAGTCGACCCGACGTCATTTGAGCGGAGCCGAAGAGTTCTCACAACTGCAGTGAAGAATAGACGAACTCACTTACGGCTGTTTCCAGATTCGCGGAAAACTCTACGCACGGCCATCCATTGATGACGAATTCATTAGCGGAATGTCTCTTACGAACGTCTATCAGCTGCCTGCTGTAGTCCAATCGTTCGGAAGTGTGTTTGAGTGCTTGATGGGTCCTGTCCAGTTCGGGACAGACGTTCGCAACGGAACTCTGTACGCTGCGGCCGTCATCATCATTATCATTGTAATTTTTTTTCCTTATCTCGAACAATGCGCCCAAAAAAGATAGATGGACTGATACTGAATAGATAGATATATTCAGACGAGAACAGAGGAAGAGAGTCGCTTACAGAAAGCTCGCTCGCCGCCTGCAGTTTTTTCGGCAGACCAACAACTGCTGATAAGTCTTCACCGTCTGCTACGACGGCTGCCACCAGCCTAAATGCCACCGTCTCTGATAGACCGTCCGGTCCCATGGACGTTCAAGGGGACGAGAAGACAAACCGACTGACGGCAGGGATGCTGAATGAGTATGATGGTGGCATTACGTTTTAATTTCGTTTTACTCCCCTCTTGAAATTCTCAACAGTCTCCCCGCGCGCGCGCAAGATATTCTCGCCTCCTCAGCGGTCATCAAGGTCACTCGTAATGCGCGGAAGCTCTAAAGCGCGACGGGGACTGCCTTCGGAACATTGACTGACCGCATCCGCTTTTCACTCCCTCGAGAATTCCAGAACCCCGCGAGATCTCGACCAATGCAAAGCGATTCCCAAGCTTCTTGAAAAGATCACCGATTTTTGTGTCGATCGTCTGGCTCCGTGCGGTGAGTCTTTGATCAGGGTCAGCCTTGTAGGATGATCACAGAAAATGCCGCTGGCGGTTACGACCACACCTCTCTTCGTACAATCAGCTTTCAGAAGTTGGCGGTGTTTTGTCCCGTCAAACCTACCAGCTTAAAAAGCCATTATATCGCTGCTACTGGTGCTGCAAACGTGGGGATGCATCCGTTAATCTCGATCGGGTAACCTGCGCCTTCCACAGATAGCTCAATAACTCATTGAGGTGCTAGAGCTCACGCAGATAAGCCACTCTGTGAGGTAGCTCCTCAGCTAGCCGACCAAAAGATAATATCTCCCACCGAAAATCGCGCTGTGATTAGGATGAAAAGTCGCTCCGTGTGCTTCAACCTTGCGGTCGCGTCCGACTGACTGAGCAGCTATCACAAGATTCTCTCGAATCGTTGAGGAAGAATTCGGGAAGTTTTTTTCCGCAGCCCGGAGCGAGAGCCTCCCTCATGGAAAGATGGGAATCGGTTTTAGTCTCAATCATTGGAATCGATAATCTCAGCGAAAATCGGCGCCAAGGAGTAGTGACCAATAACAGAGTAAATGTCCATGTGTGCAGATGCCCGATGGTGAATGGATCTGACAGCGGTGGAATTTTTCTGATGGAGATTCGCTCGTCTTCAACAAGTAGAACACACCCAACGAGGAGATAACTTCATTAGAAAAGGAGCGTTTTCAGATTAGCGCCCCTTCCACTATGCACGTAATCGTTCGCTGTGACGGTCGTCGGCTGCGATGAGCGAGGGACGGGACAAACAAAGATTTTCTCGGTTAGCTCGCTTGCAGCGCCCTCATAAATCTATTTCCCCCCAACTTATCGTCTTGCACGTCAGAGCGTGCTTGGATGTTTCATTCAGCATTCTGAGATTGCAGCTCCCGACGGGGATCCAGTAGAGGACAGGGAAATAGAAACGCCCTTTTCGAGTCGATCGGACTCGATGAAAAGGAAGAGAAACCGATCTTGAGGATATCGCGGCTGACGTCACACTCTGGAAGCCTTGATGTCGTAGATGTCGAGCGACCAGATCAAATGCGGATCTCTCGCACCTCGCACTACGCTTCGAGTAGCCCGCGTTTCGAGCCGCCATTCCGAGGAGCCTCGGAGTGTTCCCTGAGTCTTCCGTGAGTCTTTGCTGGACTTTTGAATGGGAGGAGCGCTCCAGATCAGTTGGACTCAGCCTTGAAACCGCTCGCTCGACGATACATTCTCATTGAGTTCTGCATGTTGTTGTTCCACAGGACACGCAAATATCCTCAACCGTCGTTTCGAAGCCCCCGGAAAATTCCAGATCAGTCTACTGGGATTCGCTGGATGAGGGCATCCGCTCGTTCCTATCCTCGGGAACGTCTCCTGGCCGTCGCTCGTGGGCTGTGATTATAAGTGACGGTTGCCTCTCTACTGGCCGGAAGGAAGGTCGAGCTCCTCCTGAGCTGCGGGATCTGGTTCCCTGCGCTCGGGAGTTCGATCCATGCGCGGCAGTAGGCAGTGGGTCCCCAGCCGAAGTCTAATTGACCAAAGTCTAAATCAGCCTCCCACGACACTTCGCACGGTGCAGCGGGATGCATACGTACATCTCGAGGAAGAGTGCATCTTCCGAATCCCCGGCACTCGGGGGAGACTCTTCATGCAAGCCGGGACCCGGGCCTGTTCCCAGGTAGAGGCAGGTCCGGAGTTCGGATCCATCTTCTGGATTAGCTCTGGGGGCCTTCCGACGGTGATATTTCCGGAGATTCCTCGCAGCCTAGGAGGTTCGACGAAATCGGCTCGTATTTTGCGCCTGGTCAAGACGCCAACACAGAAGCCCGTGTCAGGCAAGTGGCGGCGCTCACGCAAAACCCAATGAAATCGCCGGGAGCTCCCAGACCAACAGAGAGAGACATTTCTCTAAAAGGAATACTGGTGACTGTAAGGAAAACGGTCGTTGCGTTCTGCCATTTTTGGCAAGAATTCCCCTACCGTCCGCGGGGCTCGTGGTCGGACTTGTCTCATGTCATGGTGTACGCCGAAGCCCGACCGTGGGTCGTCCAGCTCCTTTCATCAAGGGGAACAATGACTTCCAGAATCGATTTGCCCCCCGGATCTCGTATCAGGAGCGAATCTCCTGAGACATTGATCGATCACCACAAGCCGTCAAGCGTCAGAGCTATGAGCAGGAGCGGAGACGCTGTTGGAGGTTGGGCCGGACTCCGCGGCTTCCCGAAGATCTCCTTGACAGTCGACGAATTCCGTATTTGGTGTCCGTTCGAGATTCGTATCGACAGGCTCCTCCCATCACGAGGTATAAGTGAAATATGGCAATCGATGATCGCTCAATGACAGCCTCTCCGCTGGAGTTGGAGCAGATACATATATGTCGGCGCGTCGATATCGATTCCTCTACAGTGGAGACACTCACTGAGCAGAAAACTATTCTGAGAGTTGATATATGGGATTCCTGATTAATGATGCCGACCCAGAATTAGAACCGGTGACCCAGTCACGCATTTCCGACAAACCGAGTTCATTCGATTCATCTACCTACTACCTGGGTAGCATGGCCACACGAAATAATTGGTTTCCGATTCATTCGAAGAGCCTATCGATCGTGAATTCTGAGATGAGGAGAGTTGCACGGGCTATGAAATCGGGAGGATCCTCTTACCTCGGGGGCCGGAGGTTCTGACGCGTTCTGTGATTCTTGCGGATCGGGCCCGGCGACATTGTATTGAGGAGCGGCATAACCGAAATGTGGACTTGCCGCCAGGTAGGACATGACGGAGCGATGCAGAGGCTTGCGGTGCGGAGATCACTCTGGGTGTAGTATTCGTTTCTCAGACTCCGCTTCGATCAGTCATTGCGCACACACGTATTATTATGGGAAACTCGAGAACTCCAAGCTCGGCTTCACACGAGACAATCGATTCCTGGGGACTTCAAAGCGCTCCCCTCGGATGGGTCCGTCGATACACTAATGATCGGTGACACTGACACTGAAGACTCGATGATTCCTCAGTTCCGTTCACAGCTATAAGTCCTCACAAGTGGCATCCACTTGTCTGCTGATCGATGGAGCGGAAGCGATGGAGACGAGTCAGCTCCAGGACTTCATTCCGCTTCCTCGAAGGATACCTGAAGGTGGCTTGCAGGGACAGAGTCACTCGTGACACACACTCTTCGTAGCGGTGCTCGCACACGTGAACGAAAACACACTTGCACGATTCCCAGCGCTTGACAACACACCGGCCGCGGGAGTCAACGGAATATCCGCTGCAACTATTGAGACAGAGCCTCCCTCGGATCCTTCCCGTACAGCACTATAGACTCTGCATGTCGAACCGAGCATGCGCCTGCTGAACCTGGACTCGCGCTCGTGACTCGACAGAGTAAATCTGAGGGCACACAAGTCTTCTGCGGATATGGACCTTTTCCCGCGATCAGCTGGTTTGAAGATGACGAAAAATGCTCTCGTTCAATCCACTCGAACACTGAACGCAAGAGACGAACGGCAGACACTCCCAGTGATGGACAAGCGAACGGGTCGACCGATAAGCGGCAGGCGGACGCACGGACCGACGAGCAAGCAAGCAGACAGACAGACTAACTGACGGTCTAAGTGACGGACTGACTGACTGACTGCTTGCCTGCTGTGAGTTGCTTCTCTGCCTGCCTTACTGGCTGTCGGGTAGTTGACTGTCAGACCAAAAGACTACCAGCGAGCAGCCTTCCGAGGAGTAAACTCGTTCAGAGGCTTGTTCTACACCGTGTTCATGACATGTGTTCCCGTGTTTCAAACAAGCAAGCTCCTCCCTGTCCAGGGTCCGCCTCCAAGGATCGTAGAGCCCGCCCACACGCGGCCCCATGGAGAGAGGCCTCTGAGCGAAAAGCGAAGGGAGAGGCGAATGCTCCCGCAACCGATCTGCCGGTGCTGTCGTGGTAGCAGCGAATGGACTGTAAGGCCGGCCGGCCGGCCGGACGGACGGCCGGGCGACTAGTCAACTAGCTTGTAGGCCTGCATGCTTAGGGGACTGCATGGTAAGGAGTCGATCCAACTGCCGTCGTTTCGGAGGGCTCTTTGGATTGGGCTATCGGAACAGAGAGACAGCGAGGAGCTCAATCGACAGGCGGGGGAAGCAACGAGAGGGAGCGCGCTCGATCCACATCCACGGCTGGATAAGGACGACAAGTTGTTATAGGTTAGAGCCGTTTTGCTCTGCTGCCGGGCAGAGTGACTGTTGCTGAGCTCGCTGTTCGCCGCACCACCGTACAGAATCGCGTCCTCGTTGACCTTCGTTCATGTGCTGAAGCGAACTGGAAGGCGCTCATTCGATGTCTGGGGATCCGAATTGCTCCGGTCCAGAGTCCTTAAGCTTCAACGGATCTCCCTCGGGTTCTCCAGGAATCGCCTCGCGTATTGTACCAACAGATATTCGGAAATGGATAACCCCGCATGCGGGTTCGTCTGCTGCCCGCCGCAGTTCCCGGTGGGAGCTGAAACTCTTTGCACGCAGCGTGCTCTTCACCATCACATTTCTAGGGTTTAGTCCCTCCTCCTGCTTCTCGAGGCATATTCGACCGTCGGAAGCTCCCGGTTCTCATAAGCCTGACGTCGTGAGCAACACTGTCGCTCTTGACGTATTCTCTCACTTGGTCGCCTCGGCCCCTGCTCCCACGGGCGATTCTGAAGCCTTGCGCCCTCGGAGTCCCGTGAGGGATCATGAGAACGGGAAGAGACCGGGGAGATGTATGGACTTGATATTTTCCTCAACGCACACGGCAAGGCATTAGGCATGGGGATGCGCCGATGCGTGTGAGCTAAAATTGATATGGAATCAGCAACTGCCGGCTAGATGCAATGAATGCCATCCTCATGACCATCAAGTCGATGGACGATGTAGAATCTTGGTCGTAGCCCAAGAATGACGGGGTAGAATACCGTACCCGAGAATGAGTGACTCAAAGACCTTGCTGGGAGATGGAAACCCCGACCGTGCTAGCATACTACGCGAGGGTCCCGATTCAGGACCAGAACTCCTTTCGGAATACCGTGAAACCGTTCGTATTCGGAAAGCCCCAAACTGTATCTTCGAAAGAATCTGCGTGATTCCCCGGTACCTTGAAATATATTCCATTGATTAATTATGCTGTCATTGAGGAAATGTGGTTTATTGCGATCCCATCTCGGTATCGAGAATTCACCAGCCTGTCTTTTAGTGTGTCGCCCATCGGAGCCGCGAAAACTTCAGACCTTCGGTGCGGATGTCCCCAGATTTCGAAATGACGTAGATCGATGGGACAGGCCCCGTGGAGACGAAGATGCCATCATTAGTCTTGTGGATAAGCGTCCTTACTATTGCCTGGGTCCGATGGCTGGACTCGTTGGACGAAATTCGGGACTCCGCTGTCTCGTGACTCGGATAAGGGAAGTCCCATTCGTTAGAGTAGCCTGGTTCCTATGAGACTATCCTTTCCGACCGATTTCTCGGTAGGCGGGCGTATGCTGCCCCCCCTCCCCCCGAGCGCAGAACTTCTCTGCATGGATTAGTCAAGAAAGGCCACTCTCGACCTCAAGCTCTGACTCCCTCGAGCGTGCCGTTGACCGGATCGTCCATCGATTACGGATTACGCTAATGCTGCTGCTTCTGTAGCGACTTGAAATCGCAGCGTTGGGGGCGACTCGCGTGAAATACGGGGGGGGGGAACTTCCGAGCGGAAGTGTTTACGAATGTTTCCCGCGAGCGAAATCGTCATGAATTCCTCGTGAACAGAGCTCTCCAACAGACTAGAAATTCCCTGAGTGCATATCACCTGAGTGCCCTGAGCCCAATAAGGCATCGATGGTCATCGTCCATATCTTCAGAGAATGTAGAGCGAGAGAGACAGAGATTTAATACCAATTCACATCGATTTTATTCGGATTCTGAGCTCAGAATCAAAATATGAGCCACACGGCTATGGGAAAGCATGAATCCCCATCGTGTTCACGCGAGATTCGGACCACGGACACAGTTTCGGGCTTCTCTATCATTGCTCATTTGTATGATCGCAGTCCGCATGAGGCTCATCAACCTTTAAGAAGAACAATACAGTGTTCCCCTTCGATCGGTCATAGGTCATAAGTGATTCATTTATCTGGTCAAATCCCCCCGTACGACGGATCGATGAGTCACCTTGAGATTGAATTCGAGAGAAGAATATCCTTGAGTCAGCTGGGCCGTAGATATGATGTCGACTGCCGGCAGCGCGAAATCCTGGAGGAAAACCCACTCCACAAATAAATTATGATCGGCGGAAGTTCACGGAATGTCGAAAGTGCCAGACCCACCTTGATGTTATCGATTGTGAGATTGTAACCAGAGGCTTCTATGATGAGCCTCGGGAATTCTTTTTTCAAATACGCGGTCGTTTCATTGAGCTCCTGCAAACAAGTCAGTCGGAACTCTCTATCCCCTATACTAGAACTGTCGGTCCCAATGCAGCCGGGATTCTAGATGCCCCCTTCCCCCGTCTTAGAGAGAGTAGCGGGGTTGGCCACTGGTTATGCTCTCGCTCCTCTCACCTTGGCTACGAAGTCTTGAAGCATCACGATATCTGCACCGGCGCTGGCAGCATTAATAGCATCTTCGAGGCTCAAACATTCGACTTCCACCTTTTTAGTGAATCCGCCGACTCTCCGAGCGATAGTTACTGCCTGGAGTGTAGTTTCACATGAGAACATCATTCAGCCGGCGAAGATGATTTTAATCTATGAATGGATTCCCATTGGTCCACGGCAGAGAACGGTGAGACACCAAACCTTTTTGACGTTTCCGGCAGTGCGAATGTGATTCGCATTCAGCATAACCATCGACGCCAAGTCATTCCTGCGGGAAATTTCGGGCGAAAATTCCATCAAGCGAATTCGGAAAGATTACTCTCTGGGTGTCTTGCAGGTTCTTGCATTCTGAGCAACTCACCGATGAGTGTCCGCACCACCGATGACAAGAGAGTATTTCTCTATCAAGCGGAAACCAGGCGTGGTTCGCCGTGTTCCGGCAAGAATCCCTCGCCAATTCAGCTTTAGGGATAATGCTCCGGTGAGCCGAACGTGCTTATTCAAAGACGATCTGATTAGCAAATAGTTCCGCCAAAATTACCAAAGTTAGTTGTTCGCGAAGCCCCCGAGTTCTGGTCGCTACTCCACTCGCACGAGCCAATGTGTTCAGCACTGTTCTTTCGGCCAGTAGAACACGTCTAGCCGGGCCACAAATTTCAGCAACTTTCACCGTGGGATGCAGCCATTCACCTTGCGAGAGCGAAAGGAATAAGAAAGCTTGCCCTCAAAATCTTTATGGGGAGAGTGCCCATCTGAATCTGGTAAATGCTTGGCGAATGCTTGGCGATTCTCTTAAGTCTGGAGGGACTTTTTCCCCTCTCGTTCTTGCCGACAAAATTCAAGGGCAACCCGCACCAGTCGCGAAGTTGTCTGATCTAAGAGGAACCATTTTGATTTTTGAGGAGAAACTGCACGCCTCAGTGTATCCTACCCTCATGCCTCAGCCACGTGATGTTGAGATTGAGCTCCCTGGCGACCACGTTGGCGAACGGGACGCCGGCCAAAACCCCTGGAAAATTTACCGCCTCAAGCTGAGCTCTCAGAGATTGCTGAGTGATTTGGGAGTCCCTCCTTTGTTCTCCTCCCATGGTCTCGCGAGAATGCAAATAACTCACTAACCTTCGGAGTTACCCCAGAGATGAGCTGTGATAGCAACGTCACCGACAACCGCCGCGGAAGCATCCAGACCCAAATGATCTTCGGAAATCCATGACCGGGCCATGATTTCCAACTGGATTACATTCAGAAGGAATTCTGCCATTCTGCAGATCTGCAAGCACGAACTCCTTCACGATCTGGGTTCCCGGGAATAATATTCTTCCCACCAGAATAGGTAGTGGTCAGATGATTGGACATCTATGAAACACGAGATGATCAAGGTTTTGATTCTAGATCCACATATTTTGGTATTCGCGTACCTCTTCGTGCGTGAGACGGACAATCTTGACAGGGTTCACTGAGGCAGCACTCTCAGCGCCAGAGACGCTGGTCAGAGCTCATGCCACATCAAAAATCACAACAACAGCGACGAAAGACACGTATGCTGAATTGAACTTATTCGACTCCAGCCTCCGCCGCCGGAGGTTCGCTCCACAATATCCGCGAGCCCAGCTCGATGTTCTGCTTTGACAGATGAACGATGTCGACTGTGTTGAAGCTGACATCGGTGTGAACTCACAGAATAGAGGATATAGAAAAACGGGCCGACCGCTTCGAGCATCGATGCCGTTCACCGTCGGCTAGGTTTCATTCGTCGGATTCCTTAATTGGATCAATCAGTGACCGCTCGACACACGATTACGGACTGAATTTCCGTGAGCGTCAAATAGCCGCCTCTTTCCGTAAGCAAGATCATGAGAAATGTTTGGCCATGTTGAACTGCCCGGAAGGCTGAGCGATAATCTCAGTTTCTGACTCTCTATCAGTGGAAAAATCGTCTACGCCTTCGAGAGATCGCGAGTCATTTGAGAGTGGTTGTGTGGATTCACCGGGTCGGGAGCTGGGAGACGTGGACTTGAAATCAGGATCTAGGAATCCCGCATCCCGCAGCGATATAGAAACTCTTCCTCACCCATGACGGACGCGAGACGATGATTCTGATGCTCCACGATTGCCCGAGGCTATCCATAGAGCCACGGTCGAGGGAGAGGAAAGAGATTAAGCGCCGAGCTCGCAAATGTCCACCGCTTGCCTCCGGTCCGGTATGGTGAGATAGGGGAGGGGGGGAGGGCGATAGGGGATGGCTGAGCTAAGACGAAGACTTCGCGAGAGCAAACACGCGCTTTATTTTCTCAGCCATCAAGATTCAGCTTCTGTGAGAACCGCACTCGAGTTTCGCTTGGCGAGCAGGAGATGCAAGCGAGCTAACCACAATCCGCCTCCCCGAGTACCATTCACACAAACGGGCTCATCGTACCAAGCTGTGAAATTCCGCATCTGTCCAAACCTTTGCCTATCGACGCCGGCCGCTGCTCCCATGAATCAGGCGCCATGCAGAATTCGCTTTTGCGAGAAAATTTGATGCCGCGAGGGCTTCTGCGAGATTGTCCATGAGGGACATTCGCGGAGGCTCTTCGGCAAAGAGGCGATTCGGAGATCCTCTCGGATGATATCACCCATGCCGCCACGGAATCTCCGCGAAGAGTTTTTCTTTTCTACAAGGACTACGGGTTTCACAGCTGAAGAACTGTCATCCCGGATGGAACTCCTAGATCTGTACGGGCTCTTCGGGATTCGGTTTACAGATCTCTGACTCCGTCTCTCTCAGAGCTGCCACAAGACCCCGGCAATAGCGAAAGATTCTCGACTGTTCAAGTGCTAACCACGAAGTATGCCTCCATCGATCCATCTGAAGACGTCAGGAAATTTTAACGCGAAAAAGTCTCGCGAATAAATGAATCGCGGAGCTCCAGCCCCGAGTGTGCGTGAATGAGACTCTGGTCGCACCCACGAGCTCAGTGAAATCTCCGGTCGAGTTCATGCTTCGCGTTCTGCAGCCAGCATCATAAGCCGCTCGGGCGGCTGGTAGCCTGACACCGCATTCCTTTCACCTTCTTTCCCCTTCCCTTGGTCTCAGTAGCCTTAGTGGTCAAGTACGCCGCGCCGCAGCAGGAGGTACATCTATGTTTATTCGCTTGGCAGCTATTGCCAAAAAATTTGGTTCCCGGACCGATTTCTTATGCTAGTGGAGAAGCTGCACGGTGCCATAAGGTTCGAAGTGCAGCAGGCTCGTCCCTCGTACCGTGTTGCAGGAATCGATCATCCACGTGGAAGGTGACCATGTCCTCGTCGCCGTCGGGCTTGTCTCGGACTTTCAGCGTGCGGAATAAATCGACCCGGAGCTCATCACCAGTGGAAGGCCTTCTCCGACGAACCAGGTGAGCTATTCGTGGGAGTTCGCCGTCCGATCTGAGAAAAATTGATGATGCTCTGCAGCTGATCCGCGATTCTCAATCGAAAGACCGAGCGCGTCGGGCAATCTCTCATTCCTTAAATTTCGCGCTCACGATTCCAGGAGCGTACGCGTGACGAAGAAAGAACAGGACGACAATCTTAGAATTCCCTCACGAGTCCCACGACTCTTTGAGGAGCCGGTCAGATTGATCACGCGATCGTCGCTGAATCTGTCACTGTCGTCGTTGTACCCAAGGTGGTTTTATAGAGTAAACCCGACTCTTTAGGCAGGCCCAGAGCACAACACCTTGAGCCACCAGTTGAAATTTTTCTGAAAGGAATTATTCCTTCGGTAGGAACAGCGCCGAAGTTGCGCTTCCGTCCAGGCAGCGAAGTGTTTCCCCCCCGGCTCCCGATGCCCGACTGTGGAGAAGTAGATCGGTTGGTTCCGCCATCGTTGCAAAACTCGTCCTCTGATTTTCGCAAGCCCAAACTACATTGGAGCTTGACACTACTTCGCTAATCACGACGTATAATCGTTCAATTTCAGGTTCGTCGGTCCGTGAGACCCGCTGTGGTTGCTCGGAATGTGCATTTCCACGTCACATCATGCACTCGTTGTCTGTCTCGAGGAACGATTCAGTGTTACTGCAACTATGTTCCAAGGTCGGATACTTATCGGTGGGTTGCCTCGGGGGAGGCCGGTAATCAATTGTCTGGCAATCATTCAATCGGCCACGTTCGAATGGCTTGACCAGACTTTGCGTTCAACAAATACGAGGGGACACACTAATTTTGAACCGATCGACCAATAGGTTGACGACGGATTTCTTCACCTTGGCATCTTCTTATCCAAGACTTCCAGAAGCGCACACGACCTCTAGGTATGCATCGTCGAGCTTGAGGTGAGCGAAACGATCGATCCAGCGTCCACTAACACCGAGCTCATCGTGGAGACGCATTTCGAGCTAACGCTTAAGGAATATATTTATCTACTCATGCTGTTTGAAATAAGCTGATCCATAACTCCTCTTCTCCAGCCGGAGGACCCCATCGATACCGACATTATCGAGTCTCTCGCAAGCCTACGGTGGTTATTACGATAGGAGGTCCACGAGTCTGCCACGCCGATCCTCAACGATGGTGAACCGCATTGGTCTTCTCTACTGATCTAGTAAGGCATAGGAACAAAGAGAGATGGTAACTGAGCATCGAATATTTCGAACTAAAAGGCGATGAGGACTGAAAGCTATGGGGTGAATTTGTAAATACGTAATTATTGTGGAATATTTCGGATCATGTGGGGAGAGATACCGAATGAATAAAATATTTCCTCCGGAAGCTTTGAGGAGAATCAATTCGTGCCGATCGGGGTCATTCCTTTCGAAAAGACACCATGAGCAAATTACCTGAAAAATGTTGCTGTGAATCGCTTCTCTCCTAGATGATTCCTCAAACAATGTGTAAAACTTCGGGAGCATTTCCGTCGGGAGAGAGGGCGATGACTCTCTGTCCTTTCCTTTTCTCCATATAAATGATTCTTAATGATGTTTTAATGGCGCGGGCTTTTCTGTCGTTCGAGCGACGAGGCCGAACAAAATTCTTCTTGCATAGCGAGAATCAGTCTATCTTCTCTTGACTCGATGAGGGTTCAAAAATGTCTTACGGCTCACCCTAACTGATGTCGGAATCATTATCACGACGCAGGAAAAAGAATTTGGCAAAAGAGAACGGGGAAGCCCACGTCGGTCAGCCAGTGGGTTCGTGGGTCGAGCGAAGAATGAGATGCAACGAGCCGTAATTACTCAATCACTATAAAACGTCGAGAGTTTTCCTCACGACATCCAATCCGTGTTTGCTGCTTCAGAGGCGGAACATCCCGTACACAAAACACGTCAACTTCACGAGTAGGCGACGATTCACCTTCGCACCCTCTCAATTGTCTCGCACGTCACAATTTAGGAGTAGCTTCCGTCGGGAACTGCTTCGGTTCACGGAAATGTACAACGAAATTCGGTTCGGATCCTCCTTGCTTGCTTATACTGCGGGAACACATGTTCCCCTGTTGCTATTCCCTCTGCTTGAGAACACGGGAATCACATTAGGCACCGGGGAGCGAGGAGGATGACGAGCGCGTGCTCGAGGCAAAGCTAAACAGTCCACAGGAGAGGCAAGACCCTCTGAAGACTGACGAGTCGACCAAAGCAAGAGTGCGCGGGCCGCTTCCCCGTGCACCGAAGCCCAATTCGAAGCCTCCTGGGTTTCCTCCATTCATCGCGCGGCGTTGAAATGCTCAAAACAAAATCTCTCCTGATTATCGAGGGTATTGGTGGGTGAGCATCTCGGAAGAATTCAGTCTATCCCGCGCAGTAACTCAAGACCAAAACAAAATAAGAGAGTACCGGACAATTCACAAATGGAGACTCGTCCAAGGACCGCATTTCACAACATGGCTAACGCTGTCGAAAAGAAGCCTCTTAATCCGACCGAACAATATTCGTAACTGCGGACATCATAATAGCCCAGAGGAACAAGGACTCCGCCCTGTAACGAGAGAACACGATAAAGCAATCATACAACATGAAGCTCTCAAACGAATTTCTCCACCGACGGAAACCTTGGCTCAAAACCGCGCGGGCGCTGACATGGGGGATCTCATTATAATCAGAGGACTTTCGGGGTTTCGGTTGCTGCATAAATTCGCTCTAAGATCCGATCCGACAGATCGTGGTATCATCTCCAGTCTGTCATATCGAGGTTATTGCAAGAATCAGCCTCCGCTTAGGGCCCATAGTCGCGCTCAAAGTTAACAAATAACTTAAGTTAGTTGTTGAGGAGTTCCAGATCGACCGGGGCTACCAGAGATCGTCTACATGCTCCAGACGATCGGATTCCGGCTCATGCTTGACCTCGGTGGCCCAGTTTTTCACTCAAGCCTCATTGCATCGAATTCATAAGTGCGTCCAGGCAAGGAATGACACTGCGATCTCGCATCCCCATGCAGCAACCGGTCTCGGAACTTAGTTCAGCATTCGATGTGGATGAGAAAAAAGCCAGCAGATGTACGGAATCCGCTCAGCTTCTCCCAGGGGAATCAGGAGAGGGACATCCCAGAGGTCCGTGTAGAGCAGGGAGTCTCTACATCAATTTCACGGAGTCGCAGGTCATCCGACGGCCACTCGATCGAGACGCCCCAATGATGTTTGGGTAGACGCTCGTTCCGTTCGGGCACTACCCGTCAGCGAGTACCGATAGAGCTTCAGGTTTCGCGGTATATCATTCGGGGCGGTCCATCGACGGAAGCATCAGAAATCGATTCCATGAGTATTCTTCCCGCTTCGGAGAAGCACGCAAACATTCATCTGACGCCTCGCCACCCACCCACCTTCCCAGTAGATAGGGCGGCCCGAGGGAAAAAACTTGATCCGCCACAACCTAGCGAGAAAGAGCATCTTCTCGCACCGGCGCGGCGTCGGCAAATCGTGGCTCCAATCAAGGCGAATTTGAGGTGACGCGGCGCTCAGAAGCGTATCACGAGAGTAGACTCATGCACCTAGAATCCTCAGAGGCCTGATGTTCTCCGAAACAGTTTCTCCCCCGCAAACTGGAATCGGTTTCTGAGGAAAGCTTACGAACCCCGAGGTAGAGGAGTCGATCTCAATGTTGAGCTCCATAGACCCCCAATGACTTACTATCAGAAAAGAATCCCGGAGACTCCGGCTCATGGGATTTGATATAAGGGCTTCACTGTGTACTCATTATCTGCAACTTACCAACATAACGGCAGCGCGCTCAATACTAGGATGATGACGATAATAAGTCTTGCGGGATACGCTCATTCTATTCAAGAGTCAGAGTTATCGAGAGCGGTAATGTACACGTGTATAATTAATTTATTTACAGGCCTCGAGACGATTCTAATCCTCATTATCCGGTTCTTCGAACTCCGCCGTCCGCACGTCGAGGTCCTCGCCATACTGGATCGCGTTGTCGATAAGCATTAGAGCATCAGCAATAGATTCTTCGTTCTTTATATTCAAAGGGAAGAATCTCACGAGGGAGAAGTCATCGACCACTTTGGCCACCGCCCGCGAAAGAGCCTCGAATTTCTGCAAAGTGAATCGAGTGCGATGAGTCAAACTGAAGTCATGCTGTCTAATGAACAAAGAATCCCCGAGAGCGGGAAAGCGCGGGTGACTCGTCAAGCAAATCACCTATTTATGTGACACCTACCGGATTGGACATCGTTTCGGCGCTCCCGTCCAGGAGCGCTTGCGCATCACTATCGACGAATTCCCCGATTCGCCGGCGGCCCGCTGCGTTGAGGAGATCCATCTTGGTGAGAATACAGACGTACGGAATCTCCAAGTTCACCATCGAGCTCAACGCCGAAAACACTCCGGAGAAAAACTTGTGCGTTTCTATCATGAATTGGGATTCTATCAAGTACACGCCGCAAACTCTGTAAACCGAGGGGTGAATTTAATAGCGGAAGAATAGCGATAACAGCGGGAAGCCGGTCGAAATCGATCAGGTTCTTTCGCCAATGCCGCGGAGATTGCTCAGAATGCCAATGCTCTGGAATTCCCAGGCACACACGCTTTCGAGATTTTCCCTGAATCGATGGCTCCCGAATCTCAGTTGCGACAGCGACAGCGGGCGATCATTCGGAATCGGGAATCTGCCGGCAATGCTCATCGGGTTTCCGGGAGAAACGAGTCGGGCGCTCACCTGAAGTCCATCTTTTGTAGCATCTCATTGAAGCGCTTCATGACATCAAGGTGCGTGTAGAGTTCTATCTGACCGGGACAGTCGAATATAAAGTAGTCGTCATCGGACGAATCTGCCAGTTTTTCTTCCAACCATTCAGTGTTTCTGTAAAAGGATCGAGAATCCATTGCACACATACGCTGATTTTCATCGATGGGCTGCATGATAGGCCATATGAGAGAGCTGCCCGATTTACCTGATCATGTATTCCAGGCAAAAAACTAGGGCCCCGTTTGGGCCCAATTTCAAGTCATCATCTTCCATGACATCATCGACCTGGATCAGGTCCCTGAGATCGAAGACCGGCGAGTAGTCGAAATACTCGCAAGCGGGATCTGCGGGAGAAAAATTGCGGGGAACTTCATTATGATTCGAATTTGATCTTCGTTAGGTCTACATGAGATTCAAGGACGGGAATCCGGGAAGAATCACTCGAACTCAGAGTATGGCCGACCCCAATCGCCTCTGAAGACGACTCGAACGAGCCTGAGAAATCTCTTCGGATGCCGCGAAGAACATACCGAGATTCACGATATTTATTATCCTCTTCGAAACTTCCGCGTGCTTGACCATCGTCGAACAGAAGGTAGATTTGCCGGAGCCCGCAGGACCCATCACCAGTTGTGCGAACCGCATCGCCACCAGCTCGGAGCTCGGGCTACGAGAAGGAAGAATTCACTTGGTGTTCAAATTCGATCAGACATCCTGCGCGCTCCCGGTGAGTAGAGAAAGCCAGCGAGTGCGTAGCATACGACTGCAACAAAACAATGCCTGCGACACATGGATCAGACGGAGACGCGGCGCGCGAACTTTGAATTCTGAACGCTGTTGGATACCCACGCTTCAGATGAGGAACTTCAGTCCCCATCTGAGGAGAATGTGGGCAATCAAGCATCAAGCGCTCACCTGACGCTGATTGGAATGGGTTCCAGAGATGATACAGTCCCGACGCGACGGCCGAAGCGTGGAGACTAGCGTGGAGACTTGCGTAGAACTTCAGACGGAGGGCCAATTCGTTTCTCGGCAAAAACCGCCACCTCCTCGAGAGTGAAACGCCGCAACGGTTTTTAAGTTTTCCGCGGCTTTTTGCGGCGACCAATGTGCATGCCCGCTCATAAGCGCTGAAGAGCTTAGTGAGAGGATGTCGGGAGAAACGTCTCCCGGATCGAGGAGGAGCTGTGAGCCTTCTCCCCTCGAAATGGAGATCACTCGTCGGCTCCGACGCGGGTTCTTTGCATAAAATCATCTTATCCATGGCGTCTCGAGAACAAAGCTGAAAGCACGAACTCCACGCGAAGCGCCGAGCTTCACCGTCTTCGTAGTGCTGCCCTTCGACGCGAAAAAACAGATTTAAGCCGCTGGCATGAGGTTGGCAACACATGGCACTGGTGAGGTTGCAACTCCGGCTGAACTGGCATTGAATGTCCTGGATACGTATTGCCCTGGTGCTATTGTCTTCCGTGTTCGGGGTTGGCACGGGAACTACGACTCTCTGGGCCGACCTCTAAGATCGAGGAGCCCTTTTCGAGATCCCTTGGTCTGATCTGATGGTCTTGGTTCGCCGAATGACCTAAGGGTGGCCGAACGAAGATCTTCAGTACTTGTTTCGAGACCGAATCCGTCCCCTTCTCCGAAGATCGCGGCTCCCGTTCCCGAGAAGAATCCCCACTTCAATCTTCTCGGACTCCCTCCTTATCGGTAAAGGGAAATACTCGCAAGGGAGCTCAAAGTGGCGACGAGGTGCAGACACTGAAACTCTTCCGAGCCTACAGAGAAACTCAATGGCAATCATGGAGGCTCGAAGATCGGCTTGTGGAGCGCGGATCTAACTTCTGAAATCGGCTTCTGTTCCTCCGATGCCGGCCCCCTGCAGTATCCGAAGGGAGCCTCGAGATAATTTGCTTTGGGAAGAGCATTTTACGGGTGATCTCGGTGTTCATCTCGTACACCGTTTCTCTTTTTCCGTCAGGTGAGCTGCGCGTCCGACAGTGAGCACTACCGATCATTAAACCAGTTCGGAAAGCCGCCAGCACTGTCTTGAAGCTCCAAGTATTCTCGCTCCTCGAAAACTGCTCTGTTGGCGTTGACAGGAGGAGAGGCCAAAAACTTCAACTACCTACATATATCTATCGCACGGACTTCAGAGAGAGGAGCGATGATCGCCCGACACCTTAGTCTGCAGCTAGCAAAGATCATCGACGTCGCCATCATCTGTGTTGATATATCTGCCGTGATTTCCGAGCCCCCGTAGTCCGGAGCAGCGTGTGAGCCGTTCGGTGGCCCTAGTTGTGATGAGAACCTCACAGAACGCTCCATTAATACAGGTCGAATCGCGTGCGCATCGAAACTCATGAAAGTTTGGAAGTTCGGTTACTCTCTTCGACGAGCCTTGTTCTCAACACATCGTCTCCGGAGCATGACACTGTTTTGATCGCTCAGCTGCTGTTCTCAAAAGGTGATTTATCTGGAATTCGGAGTAGATTGACCCGTGTGGAGGCCAGCGGTCCTTTCCGATGAGAATGTCACGAGCTCATCTGAGTCATCTCGAAGATTCTTAGGGAACCGAGTCGGCTAATAGATGAAGTAATAATTGCTCCAACAAAATAGGGAGGAGCATGTTGTTCTACAATTCTCTGGAACTTTTTTCGTATGTTCACGCTGACTGGCTCACCTTCGATGGTGATAGAGCTACTCCACGACAGTCTTTAAATTGTACGGAGCCGCACCACTGAATCCCCATTCTCTTTCTCAGGCAACCCATGTCGCCACAATGTCCACAACAAACAAACCTCTGCGATACAGCAATTTCCGAGATTTACAGAAGAACGTGGAAAAATCAAACGACGTGCCGCTTACGGCGAGATGCAAGACCTATTATACAACCGCGACCCAGCTATACGACAAAGCTCAGAGAGCCAAGCTCGATGGGGACCTCGAGGCAGCATTTATTTTCTTCGTCCGCTTTGGGAACCTCGCTCTACGGCTGAAAAACGCTCCCGATTTCTCCCAAGCCCAGTATCCAGGCTTGAGAAAGGCGGCAGATGCTATTTCGGAAGCTGAAGTGCTGCAGAGCGAGTTAATGAAACTCTATGAAGTCAAGCTGTGCAGAGCTTCGACTGCATCAGTGTCCGCGAACAATAACATCAGCCATAATCCTCAGGATCAACAGAGACGTGCCACTCAGGTTTATGATATGCTGGAGAATCACAAATGCCTTGTGATAGACTTGCGAGAGCAAGCCGAGTTCGAGGACTCCCACATGGTGCACAAGTACCTTTTCAATCTGCCGGGGAAGTTTTTGAAGCCCTCTCAGACCGGCGTCGAACTCGAAGAAGCCACCAGAAGTTTGCAGTCGCATCCGATGTTCCTTCAAAGAAATGCTTTCGAGTACATCGTAATCCTTGATTACGATACTCAGAACCCTTTCCACGCGGGAGTCCCTGATAATCACCCTATTCGACTTCTGTACAGCATCCTTACAAGTGATGACTCGAAAGCGAAAAAACTAAAAAATCTTCCGGTGATACTGAAAGGGGGATACCGCCTATGGTTGGCTTCGTACCCCCGGATGACGACCAATGCCCATCCGAGGAAGCTTAACGAATCTATTCCCCCGAGTCATTTTCCCTCAGTCAACGTAAATTACCCGTCATTAGATGTGCTCTCGACGCCGATACCGAGTGCCCCGCCCGCGCCGGATACGGCTCCATCAGACAGGATTCTTCAGATTCCAGAACGACCGTCCTCTTCGAATCGTCCCGTGAAACCTTATAGCGGTGAATCGATAGGTCCAACATCGAATGAGAACGCTTTACCGAGATCGCGTTCCTTGACGGAAATAGCATCCGTGAACGAGCAATCTCTAGTGAAACCTGAAGTCGATCGTGCTTCTAAGCCGAGCACTCTACCCGGGAGCGCGCGGAATAAACACGATATGGCTTCTTATCGAGTGAGCAAAACGCATGGACTGCGCAACTTGGGCTGTTCGTGTTATATCAATGCCTCCCTTCAGTGTCTTTCTCACACCCGGAATCTAGCCGCCTATTTTCTTCAAGGCCAGTATAAGAACGACATCGCGACCGACGATTCCGACTTGACGCAGGAGCAACTATTATTACCGGAACTTTTCGAGAACGTGCTCTACTACTTGTACTATGGAGGCGATGAGGAGTCGTTGACGAATTTCTGGAGGGAAGTCTTCAACGCATTCCCTCAGTTCAAGCGAAATTCTCATGAGTGCGCCCACGAATTCATCACCAATCTACTGTCGACACTACACGACGTATTGAACCGTGCCTCTCACAAGAGTCGGCGCAGCGAAATACCGGAAATCGATGAGAATAACGTCGAGATCGCTTTAAACAAATTCTTCACTGAACGTCACGACGAAAGCCGGTCGATTATCGGAGATATCTTCGAGGGCTTGACAGTCATTCAGCGTCAGTGTCGAACGTGCAAGAACTCTTCCTATAAATTCGATGTCACCTTCTCGCTGGGCTTGCCGATACCGGATAGGCCCGAACTCACTTTGGATGATTGTCTACAAGAAGCTTTTCAAGTGAGTACTGTAATTTGATTTCTCCGACCGTCGGAGGATATGATAAGAAATGATAAATCGAGAGTCGGGAGCCGGGAACGAGTAACGCGTCCTAAATTCACGATTCTTTGGTTCCAGACTCAGGTTGTTGACTACAAGTGCACCCATTGCAATAGCCAGCAGAAGGCCACGCAATCTGAGAGGATTGCACGATTGCCCAAAGTTCTGGTGATAACGTTCCTGCGTTTCCGCCACTTCCAAGATAGCACGCGCCAAAAAGCCAACAATCACATCGAGTTCGAGAACGTTATCAGCCTAGATAAATACCTCGACTTCAAAACACAGCCTAAATCCAAAAGCTATCATCTCTACGCGGTTGTCAATCACTACGGTGAACTGGATCGGGGTCACTACGTCGCATTTTGTAAAAGTCTGTCTTCCAATCTATGGCACAAGTACGATGATCAGATCGTCACCGAGAACCCGATGCTAGCAGACTCAGATAAGAGGAATACCTATATTGCTTTCTATATGTGCGATGAGAGCTGAATGGGGGCCGGTGCCGTGCGTTCGACTGAAATCTCTGGGCTGGAAGGAGAATCCCTCCGAACACTACGTTAATCATTGTCTTATTTAGCTTCAACGTCTCGATGATTCACAGTCCTCCTAACGACTGATTCGGTTCCGGAGACTCTGTTTCCATGCAATTTTCCGCAATATTTTCGGGTTGGAAGGCTCACGCAGATCCGAGGTTACCAGTCTTCTGCTGAAGCACAGCGGGAAACCCGGAGTGATAAAGAGTTCCCTGGGTATGTTTTTGTTGCTTTTTCGAGCCAATAACCTCGATAGTTACGGAGTTGTTGATCCTCTCTTTTGTTTGATAGTGGAGAATGTGATTCCTGCCGGCATCTTGATACGTCTGCCCCCGACACATCCATTCAATGGCGAGCGGGGCGTTGGTAGAGCTCATGGAATGGGTCCGTAATTTATAACAGGGTCGTTGTGTATAGCAGAGCTTAGAATTGTACATTCCGATAAGACAACACCTACGTGGTTCCGGGGTGCTGTCCCGAACAGACGCAATGCGATTCCCTTTGAATAAATGTATATGGGAAACATATCACAGAAAGCTCCTGATGTGAAACTTACTCGGCGCGTGTTCTTTCATTGCGTAATTGGCAACCCAAGGACCGCTGGAAAGGATGCGTCATGCAGCGTTTCCGATGCAGGCTCAGGCACGAGCAGTCGCGCTAAATAGCTGAAGGAAGATGATATTGATCTTCTTGTAGGATTTATTCTTTTGAAAATCGCGAGAATCTAATGAACACTAGAATACTTCATTCGCTCTCCTCAATGCACCTAGAGTGAAACGAGAAGAGTTCAGGGAGGTGAGGATGCCATAAGAGAGGAAGAGGAACCTGGCTCGGCTCACAGAAGGAATGAGTTGAGAGTTCTCAGGGGGCAAGCTCCGTGTCACTTCTAGAGGGGAAATCGAAGACTAGATATCCATTCGACGGGTGACGCGATGAAGAGCCCACGTTACCGGGGGACGGGGGCACGCGTCATCATTATTGTAGGCGTGAACGAGACCCGCACTGCAACTTCCCGCCCGAATCTAAATCCATTTCACTGGGGAAGCCATCATGATTTAGTATCCATGATGATGGCCCCGGTAGCCTCCATGATGCCCGTGCCCGTGCCCTTCGTGGTGGGGGTGATGGCCATAAGTCCCCGAAGGCACATGTCCTTCTGAATGCGGTCCGTTGTATTCTGCATGCGCAGCATCCTTCCCGGTGGTTCCTGGTTCGTTCGTATGGATCCGAGCTCGGAATCCATGTCCGTCGGCGACATAGTCCACCTGTAAAATGTTGAATTGGATTCTCGTCCTCTAGGCCGAGTCTGATCCGAGGGTTTCACTACTGCTCCGATGTTTGAGTCACCTTTCTCCATCGACCGTCGACATCTTGCAGGTAGTATGATCCTTTCTTATTGCCGTAACCGTCGCCATGCTCCTCGCGCCCATTCTTCGCCCCATAGCCGTCTACGATATGATATCCGAAATTGTAGTTGCCGTGGTCCTGGAATCGTTCCAGAGGTCAACGACGAATGGAATTTTGCAAGTTGGCTTCATGATCCTTAGTTCGTTTGATAAACCCATACATCTTGTTTTCGATGGGTAGTCGAGTGGCCGCCGTGGCTTGCCACCGTCGTTTGAGCCAGGACGGCCAGTCCGAAAAATGCCTGCAATGGAACAGCGACTTCAGACTCTGAAGCATATCCTCCAGCACATACTCAGTCAGTATTTCACCGCACCCACCACAAAACCGAATCCTCGCATCGTGAGTTCCGAAGTTTTCAGTCGCTGCTTCTGTACCTGAGAACGACAGAGTTCTGCTTTTGTAGTAGTAGCCGGCGGCGAGGATCGAGCTTTGTAAGCTTCATCGGCGTTCGGACACCGACCACGAGCGTTTTTGTTCGACCGGCTGAAATAAAAACCCCGTGCAGAAACAGTGGAGTGGTCAATTCATGCTCAGTCCGACCCCTAGTTGGAGTTTTTGACCCTAAGTCACTTTCACCCGGCCTTGACAAATCACTCCACGCTTGAGCAAAGCACTCCAGCATTGTGGATTGTGGTCAGTGGCCACCTCCGGTCAGAAATGTCGCCTTAAAAACCGCGACCGCGCATTGAACAGGTTTGGAGTCGGACGCTCTGTTTGCTTTTCTATCCTGCTACGAAACTACACCGTGTGATTTCCGAATACGTCGTGAAGACCGAGCGGACCTGATACCGGAAGGTGATCGGGTCTTCATGCCATAGGGAACCTCTGTACTTTGTTCCTCCTTTCGGCCAGAATTGACGAATTCAATTGAGCGCAAACATGACTTTTGTTCCGGACGCATTTGATCTCTTCTTCGCACCTCCTCCTCGCCGCGCCTCCTTGTTCGATCGTTTCCAGCTCTTCACTCGTCGGTGAAAATCAGCAGCCTCGTCCGGTGGGCCGCGGCATTTGCCACTTCCCGGTCGTCAGGAGATGACCTCGGAGCATCTCAAGAGCAAATCGCAACAGCTCCTGCGATGCTCCCGTCACTCTCTAGGTCGTCGCCTCTGGATAAAACGTCCTAGAGGTTGATTTTGGAAAATATATTTTCCTCGAGCGATTCCTTCAATTGTCTGCTCGGCGAAATCTCTCTGGTCTTCTCCGGCAGCGCTGTGTGGATGCGGTTGGAACCTCGGGTGAATGTTTCGGGAGATCGAACGTCCCAATTACGATTATCCCTCGCCTTCATGAGGGGCTCGAGAGCCCGCGACGCGGAGCGGAGTTGCTTGAGTCAGACTTTTCGGATGCTAGATAGTCTTGCCATGGAACCTACAGAGACCCGAAAAAAACACCACCCACAGTCAGAGAAATCGGCTGCCTGCTCATGATGAGTGAACTCCTGCTCAATCCAAGGTTTCTCAAGTAAGTTCGGATCGGTATATGACGAGACGACCACACTAAATTCTCGGCCATCCCACCTTCGTGTGCACCGGTCTCTAGTTCCTCCCACATTTTGCGATCACTCTGAAATGAGCAGATACGGAACTTTTTTTGTAACTTGGTCATACAAAGGGGGACACCCGACTGAACTGATGGGACCCATGCGCATGCATCGCAAACGACTGTGCTCAGTCATCCACAGTGAAGCATATGAATTTGTCAGACTCATTCGTCCTGAGGCAACATCGGCATGGTTCCGTACAGACTACTCTACCGACGAAAAGAGCTTTTGTTTGCTCTTCCGAGCTCGAGGAGACTTCACTCCGTTCACCCATCCAGGAATGGTGCTCACCACCCACTGGTCGGCGTCGAGTACTCGTACGGAGAGCAAACACGATAGAAGCTCGATCGTACCGCCCGATGCGTGTCCGAAAAGTGTCATCATATAAACGAGTTAGAGATGTCATCAGTTCCAATCTCCAATAGGCTCCTAAGAGAACTCGACAAAATAATTCGACTCCGTCCATCTACCCGACTCATCCGGAATGAGTGACATTTCCGATCACGAATATCGGTACCGAGGGAAGTCCAAGTGATTGACAGCGAACTCTCGGTGAATGAATTTTTTCGAGAAAAAAAGTCTGTCATTCGAGATGTTGGTCGAAGGGGGCGTTCGTTGAACGAGGTCTTATGTCTCTGATCGTGAGTGCCTCGGATCGGGCGACGCTGGAGCCGTCGCCTCCCTACGCCCCAAGGCATCTTCAACGCAACTGGCCAGAATTCCGCCCATTTCCCGCCCTCCAAATTTTTCTGGAACAGACCGTGTCCGGCGCATCTGAACATCTCGAAGTCGAGCTGCTCGATAATGGTCCAGGAATCCTACTCTCAGGCGAGGTGTGAATTGATGCATCCAATTACCGTCCATCCGCCCGCACCCATGGACTTAAGCCGGGGACCCTCCTCGCTGTGGAGTGTGAGGAAGCCTAATCATCGAAGCAGCCACTGTCGATTCTCTTACAGAGAGCCGGGCTCTGAATTCCCCCGAGATAGCTTCGAGTTATTGAAGTCCTCTACGAAAGTTGGGAGTTGGGGGAAATATCATTCTGCACTTCGTCCTGTCCCGTCGAGTTGGGAAACCTTCCTGGCTTGTGCTTCCTTCCCATCATAGATCATCATCGTTGTAGGAGAACCTTGAGCCGGCTCTCGAAAACTGGCTGAAGCCCGATCCGCTTCACCGCTGATACCGGCGATGTCCCTTCTTCTGGAGAAATCCTTGACGCACTCCCGAAGTCCGAGGGACGCGCACTGGGAGTCCGTCTCGAAAGGCTCACAAGTAAACATTCTTTTTTGAAAATGACAATCGCCTGGTTTGACATGCTTTTCTGAAAGTTTCCGAGCCCTGGAGCAACCCCGAGTCGTTTTTCCCTGCTGTCCTGCATTTCATACCCTTTTCTTGCAGGCTCCGAAACCCGGGAAAAACACAATTTACATTGAAATCCGGGATATTTTTCTCGGATTTTGATGGAAATGTTTTTCCTCAGG